TACTCTTGGCTGCTAGGCAGTCATCAGTCAGACAATATGAATGGGTCGCTCTGAGGAGCTCAGTGAATTCCAGCATGATACTGTGATCAATGCCACATGTGTAACAACTCCAACTGTGAAATTTTCTTTCCACTAAATATTCCACAGAGTGGAAATGATTGGGAACAACAGCAACGCAGCCTTGTAAAATCAGGGTGCTGAGGCACATATTGTGTAGAGTTCACTAACTTTCTGTAGACTTCATCACTACAGACCTCCAAACTTCTGGTAGCCTTCAGATTAGCTCATGAATTATCAGTAGAGAGCTTCCTGGAATGGGTTTCCATGGCCAGCTGCATCAAAGCCTCACATCACCAATTGCAATGCAAAGCATATAATGCAGTGGTGTAAGGCACGCCACCGCTGGACTCTAGAGCAATGGAGACTTGTTCTCTGGAGTGATGAATCACGCTTCGCTACGTGTCTGACTGTACTGTGCAAAGTTTTGTAGAGGGGGATTATGCTGTGGGGCTGTTGGGCTCGGTCCCTTTGTTCCAGTGACAGGAACACTTCATGCCTCGGCACGCCAAGACATTTTGAATATTTTCATGTTCCCAATTTTGTGCGAAGAGTTTGGTGATGTCCCTTCCTGTTCCAACATGACTGTGCATCAGTACTCAAAGTAAGGTCCAAACAGACATGGATGAGTGAGTCTGATGTGGAAAAACTTGACTGAGCTCAAAGTGACAGAACACCTTTGGGATGAAAAAGAGGAGATCTCTGAGCCAGACCAATATTCCGGTTCAACATCAGTGTCTGATGAACTGGACTTTTACAAGAAGGATCAAAAATTCCCATATACCGTGAAGGCGTAATGATATATAAATAATGAATTAAGCACTTGCTAATACCTTAATGATGCTTAATAGCGTGACATCATTATGTTACCAATTATAGTGAACAAACATGATTCTCAGTGTTTGATTTTAGCAGGTGTTGAATTTGTTTTTCAGTCTTGAAAATTTCATGTGGTTTGTTGTCTCAAGATGCTTTATATATAAAGGTAAAGATTTGACAATAATACAAGGCGATCAGACGATCCCCTACGAGAAAGTGACAGTGGGAAGGAAAAACTCCTTCATAACAGGAAGTAACATCCAGCAGAACCAGGCTGTCATGATTGGTTGGGAATAAGGGGAGGGAGACAGGATAAAATAGCACACTGTGGAAGAGAGCCAAAGATGAAGTTCTATCCAGTTTAGTTTGGAAATTGAAAAAGGAAAACCCCAACAAAACAATTCATTCTAAACTAGGCAGTAAAACTTTTTCTCAATGAGAAAAAACTCTGAAACAGCTGTACTATCCATCACAAGGCTTAAAGACACAGCTCCAGCTTAATAGAATAAGAATTCCATTAAGTAGGTCTCTAATGAGATTACTTCCTCTGTTAACCCCTCCCCGACGCTGAGTAACAGTTACATCACCAAACACAGCTCAAATTATTACCTATAACTCACGTCAGGATTGTTGTTATATAAGATACAACTTGACATACTGCCTTTCATACATTTTTATTATACATATTCATTTTCAATGTTGAGTATCCAGTTAGTGTAACATGTTAGAGTTAAGTCACCCACCTCGGCATGACAGTGGTGGTCAAACAAATCTGTTGGTTTATTTTCCTTCCTGCTGTACATACTGTCCACATGGACAGATGAAAGGAAACGGACCTATGGACACAGATATTATAGAGGCCCTTCAGAGCTTTGCACTGAAGATGCTTTTTGTGGCCATTTGGGTTTTTTTGAAGTAATCTTTCGTGTATCTGAAGTTATTGGGGATCTCTTTGAAGTTGTTCTGTGTCTGTTTGAAATGCTTTTATGTCTTTGGGAAGTTGTTTTTGTTTGCGTGTTTATTTGTTGCATCTTTTTGATGTGCTAATTGGAACCTATCCTCACACAGCTTTACGAATTCTCCCAGAACATTGAGTGTGTAAGATGTTGTGTAAGTTTGTCTGCTGTACATCTCTTTGTCATCATTGTGCGTCTTTCCTTTGATGTTTTATATCATTTGTAGTCATTTTATCTAAGGTGCTTTGCATTTCATTGTAGCTTTGCTTTGTTTCCTCAGTGTCTTCCAAGACACACATGTTTTGTGTCTCTTTAAAATTGTGTTAGAAATCACTGAACTCATTTGTCCCTCTTTCGTCTTTGTCTATTTGAAGTCATTTGAAAAGACTTTTCTGTGAAGATGTTGAATCTGCTTTTCTTTCATCTGTCAAGGTGTGATGATTACAGCCTATCGTAACCTGTCAGCGTCAGTTAATAATTTGACTGATCACTGTCATTGTGCCAATATAAGTTAATATGGCAGGGGTTGTATATATGAATGTGTCAGTAGAAAAACAGGAAATGCTTTAACATCACACACCTGTACAGAATTTATAAAAGGTGTGAAAGCTTGCTATAACTCATTAATAACTACTTTATGCTACAATTCTAATGTCTGTGGAATTTCTGTAACTTGTGTATAAACACTTCAATAAAGCTTGTTAGTATAACACAGTTGTATACAATTTGTCTCTGCTATACTTTGTTATCACTGTATGTGTAGCAAATCTTTCTCACTATGTCTTACTGAGAAAGACCGTGAGATTCTTCTAAAAGCTCCGGAGCACATCAGCTGAGAATGTAGATGCAATGAAAAGGCCAAAAAATACTTTAGTTTCAGTCTAAACTGAGGATCTCAGGCTCCTCCTGGTGGACGTAAGAGGAATTACATCATTCAATTAGCACTTATTAACTTCAGTGATATTTTAGTTGTATATATATCTTCATGAGAACCAAGGAAAAAAAGAATCCTCCTTCATATCTACACACACACACACACACACACACACACACACACACACATATATATATGTATATATATATATACATATATACATATATATATAGATAGATATATAATGTTTACAGACTGATGAGCTGCCTGTGTTGGTGAGAAGCATTTCTGCATGCAGGAACAATGTATGAGCTTTGTGTGACATCATGACACTCTGAGCTTGTTGTTCCCACACAGATGCGGGGAGGGTATTTGTGCGATGTACTACAGCCTAGTGTGTGCACAGTGCTGCTTTGTCCACATGTGAGGCCATTATGTGTCCCACTTTGTGCCAGTGTAACTTTCTGTCATTGTCATCATGTGAGGGATGAGACAGGAAGCAGAGGACACAGAAACATTTCTGTTTTTTGTTTTCATTTTCAAAACTTTTGTATAAATGTTGTGTTTTTTCTTACTTTGTCTCTTACATTCAAGACTTTTGTAGGAACTAGGACTGTAGATCATTTTTCAGACTACGTGCTGTGGCAGACACAGTACATGGATATTATTCAGAACCAAAGCTGACTGAGTATTTAGTGTAGCCTGCAGCCTGAGTTTTTTGCTCACAGAGTTCAACGTGGGCTCATTATATGAATTACTGCTCATTTTAAGTGTAGACCCCCACCACTGGGAGAGTATATGCATGGCACAAAATAAGGAAAAGCATAATAGTTCCACCTTATAAATGTTAAAATCCAGTTATTCAATACTGACAGTGGTGATAAATGAAAACTAGTCTGCTGGTCACACTGAAAAAGAAGCCCCACCTTTGAGTTTGACTGAACAATGACTGCAAGAGGAGTCAAACAACTCCTGTAGTAGTAAAAACGATTCTTTCCTGTTTGCCTGCGTTAGTGTTCATTATAGGCTCAGAGAGGGTCCCTGATATAATCCCACTCCCATCTTGAACCCATCTGTTACTCCTGCCGGACACTTCACTACTGTTTAGATGTTTTCATAGATGTCCCGCACCAGTCTCACATACATACTGCCAGCAGTACAACAGTTGTTTTCTTGGTACTCTATAAAAGGCTTTCTCCAGGTCCACAAAGACACTGCAACTCCTCCAACAACCCAAAGCAAACATCACATCTGAAATGCTCTTTCTTGGGACTGTCATCATCACCTCCCAGCCAACATAAACAATTCTTTCCCATAGCGTCATCGTATAGCTCATCAGCTTTATCCTCTGTAGGTACTACAGCTCTAGACAGCAGCCGCGTTCTTCATGTGGCAAATGGACGGATTCTTACAAAGCACTTTTTTATACAACATGCCTCATTCACACTCTGTCATACGAGCACTTTTTTCTTCATCTAAGTGCTTTACTCTGATGAACTTGGGTTTAAGTATCTGGCCTAAGGATGCTTAGCCATCCCAGGTTTGTGCCAAAAACTAACGACAGGCTAATGAATTAAAATCGATACCAGTAAACTTCTCCGTTGCTCTGGCATCTTCCTAATCTCCAAGATTGCATTAAACAATCTGGTACAAGGTCCACTGCCATGGGCATCTGGACCAACCACATTTCTGCTTTACATGGTATGGCTACCACCTAAAGAGTCTAAACACTCAGGCAGGTTCTTGAGGAACCGTTTTAAGCGGCCCTCAAGCAGATGGCTTGGCTTCTCAGAGCCTTGAGCTCTGACTCAGGACTCATCATAGAGACTGCAGTGAGTGTGCAGAGAAGGTCTGAAAGTTCAAGTTCTCCAAGATGCAACTTCTCCTGTAACTAACCTCCTTACTCCCCACGTAATCCCTAAAAGATGTGCATAATACTGTGTGTGTGTGTGTGTGTATGCAGAATACTATGTAACTATATGCATGTATATTTAGTATGTCATCACTAGTGAGTCATACAAAGAAGCAAATTGAAAGGGCTGTCTACCTAAAATATATCAATGCATGAGAAAAGTTTCCAGTTTCCTCTGCTGGATTTCTCCCAGAAAAAAACAGGGGCACCAGTACAGAATGACCAGTCCAGCTAAAAGAGATGCAAGTATTTTAGTGGGAGGCTGCGAGTCCTCTGCTGGCAGGCGCTTAATGCAATATGTGCCCGTAAGATGAAGTCACAAACATTGCGACTGTAGTCTACTCCCACTCTCGGAGCAGCACAAACGGGGCATTATGCTGACGAGTACCAGCTGGTACCACGGGGCTCCTCATCCTCCTCGGGACTTCATTTGTTGCTGCTGCTGAAATCAGGACATGGAACTGAAATCGAAGCGCAAACCTGTAGACGTTGTCCTTGGATGCTTCATTGCAGTCTGCCTTTATAACCTTTGTCTGGCTCAAAGAAGTGAGTGGAGCTTTGTTTTCTGTGAAGGGCGGTGATGTGGGGCTGGATGAGGACCTGTGGATGATAATCTGTGGACAGAATGTGTGTGGGGGCAGTTTTTCATCCTTGAAGAAGAGATCGTCACCCTTTTTGTGTCCTCTCAAACTCACACCTAAAAAAGAGAAGTGCATATTTTCTTGTTTCTTTATTGAGAGGCCTGAAGGGGTCCGGCTAACTGTGTTTTTGTGCCGCATGTTGAAAAAAAAATCTCAAAACTAAAGAGAAGGAAGAGTTCAGGAATAATATATGATCAAAGTGCCAGGCACACAAATCCTTAGGCCAAGTGATACGGTCACATCATGGGCGAATCTTAAGGTGGAAACCAACCAATGCCATGCTCAGGACTGATTTCATTTGTTAGATATATTTTGTACATGCTGTACAGTTCCTGATGTAACTAACCACTATTGTTGGTAATAACATTGTTTTGTTCACAGATCGTATTATCACAGTATGATGTGAACCATCACAGGAGCTACTAATGTATCTGTAAACATTTGATCCCTTGGGTTAATGTAAAACATTTTTTCTCAGTTTTTACATTGATTTAAGATTTTTATCCCAAAAAGCTTGGATGCTGTGTGAGTTACAGATAAATAAAAACAGAATGTAATGATTTACAAATCTCAGAGACCAATACATCATTCACAGTAGAACAGAGAAAACCAAATGTTTCAAATGACAAAATGTAAAAAAAGGTAAATTTGAATTTTATGACAGCAACACGTCACAAAACCTGTGGGCCCGGGCTATGTTTGTCTCTGTGCAGGATCTCCTCTTCTTTTAACGCTGTTCCTGAAACGTGAGGAAATTAGGATATGAACTGCTGAACTTTTGGGACGGAGGTTTTCAGTTGGTGAAAGGTCTGAACTGCAAGCGGGCCACTTCAGACTCTTCTACTGCAATGCCATGCTATTATAACAGCTACAGTACGAGGTTTGGCATTGTGTTGCTGAAACATGCAAGGCTTTGTCCCGGCTTGATGAGAGCAGACAGCAGACAATGATCTCTGGAACTGTTACTGAGTAAACGAGCTAACGTTAGGACGTTTTCACAGTGCTCCAGCCTTTTCAGAACGGGGGTTTTAATATTTCTATATTTACTGTATTTAGAACTATGTTTACATCTCAATACTTCTAAATGTTCAGAATCGTCATTACTAGAAGTATTTCCTGTAATTTAACCTCTTAACATCCACAAGCTCATCAGTGGCATCTATAAGTTTAGGATGAGGTTGATGTCTGCCGCTTTTGTGGGGAATTTTAACAAATATGGACCACCCAGATATAAAAGGTTTTCACAGAAAAACTATCAGGCCTTAAACGAATAACACAAGTAAGAAAATGTTCTATATTTTCTGAA